CCCGGTACTGGAGAAAAAAAAAAAAAACAAAAAAAAAAAAAAAAAAAAGAAAAGAAACAGCACCACGGTGCTCTGCAGGGAAAAAAGGAAACCTCTGTGCTCCCTTCGCTCTGCTGTGACTCAAGGGTGCTTGGCCCTGCGCAGCAGTGCACACAGTTCCAGCTTTACCCCCTTTCTCTGTACACTGGGCTCAGAAATGACACTGTCCCTATGTGAATGTGGACAGCCAGCATTTACCAACATGTCCCTGTCTTTCTCTTTTTTAAAAAAGAAAAATTAACTTTTTAAAAGTGGGGCATAGAAGGTCAGCAGAGGGTAGGTTGCAGATGTTTGGGTGGGTTAGGTGGGCATTTGAGGACACAGGTTTTCCTTTGGCATGTTTGTGATGTTAACGGACATCCTTGCAGTTTACGATGACACTTTTAAAATAAAATTCTCTTCTAATGAAAACCATTTTTTATACATGAAGAAAATTACCACTGCTGATGCTCAAGTAGCTCATTCATATTCAAAGTCAACAAATATTTACTGAGCACTTCCTACGCGCAGAACTGTCTGGACATGCAGTGAACAAAGAGAAACAGGTTTTTTCTGGTCACGTGGGGAGGGGAAAGCAGCAGACACACACAGTACTGGACATGTAAACAGGTAAACTTTCTACTCTATGTCATTTCATTTTAACAGTGTTTTAAATACACCCTTCTATTTTATCATTTTCTTAAGCCATTAGGCTGTGGCAATTCCTTTTCCAAATGTCATGATGTATGATTAAAACTCCTGTGGGGTTCAAATAGGGACTCACAAAGTCACCGAAGAACTCAGTGCTGCTATATCCTATGATTAACATAATCAATTCTCAGTCATTTTATTACTCAGTCAGCAGCATCTGACACATCTCTCTGATGAGGTGAGCCCCAGGCTGGCCTCCGTACCTGTCCTCACTCTTCCTGATCTCCACGTTATGTCTTTAAATACCTCCACACACTCAAGATTCCCGGATTTTCACCTGAAGTTGTCCCAAGTCCAGACTTAGGTATCTAACCATCCTTGACAAATCCACTTGGACACCTGGCCCTGGGGTCCTGAAACTTTTTCTCCAAATCTGCTCCATCTTGTTTCCCAACCTCAGCCTGGAGCAGCTCCCTCTCCCAGTTACCCACGCCTAAAATCTTGGTTCACAATCCACTCCTCTCTTGTGCTCGTACCCCACGTCCAAGCTACAAACACATCACTCTGATTCTCCTTCCAAACACCTCCAGGATACAACTGCATCTCTTCAGTGCAGCGACTTCATGTCCATCTCTCCCTTTTCTGAGTCACAGTGGCTCCCTTCGGCTCCCTTTGCTTCCCCCAGCCCTCCTACAGGGCGCACCCCTCACTCTCTGACAGTCTTCCTCCAGTGCGCTTTCTCACCAGTCTTCCCTGCTCCCCTCTGTAATTCTTCCCTGAGCACCTGTCAGCAGCAGACGCACTGTGCGTGTATCTGTTCTGTATTCTCTGCCTGCCACACAGGAACGTTAACTCTTCGGGGACAGGGATTCCAGCTGCTCTGTTCATCCTGACGATGACAAACGGTAAGGGTTGAGCTCAGTGAACAACTACTGAACACACGAATATCACAAGCTGTCAACAACATGCTTTAGACCCACGTCGAACAAGGATGACAGTGGTGCATCAACTGCCAACCTCGTACAGCCAGGCATCATTAGAACCAGCTCTCCCTGCATCACATTACGGGACAGGCCTACACTGCTCAGTTTCTTCAGCTCATACCACAGCTATCAGGGGCTCTGGTGCTCCGTTTTGTTTTGTCTGAGGTGCTGGGTGTCCAACCGAGTGTGCTAGGCAAGAGCTCTAACACTGAGCTACACCCCAGTCCTGGGGTCTATGTTTTATTTCAATTTAAGATTTCCTGTCTTAGGGGCTAAAATTACAGTAATGTTGGAAAGCTAAAGCTACTTTATTGGAGTTTTTCATAGATTCCTGACCACACAAGCATTTCTTGATTCAGAAAATCAGAGAAAGGCCACAGAAGGTTGTATTTTAGTCGGATTGTGTCTTTCAGTCCTATAGCTGGATCCTGCAGGGGCTGTGTTTTTGGACAGGGGCACATGGTCAGATTCCGGTCGTTAGGAAGTCAAAGGCTAACTGTCTAGTCTCGGGGCGGCCCGGATCCGCCCGGAAGCACCGCGATCTCTCCGCGGTCCTCGCCTCCTTTCCGACGCCTGCAGCCGCGCTCCCGCCTCCCCCGCGGACACAGCGCCTTCCGGCTCAGAGCCTGCCACCCGCTCACGGGGGCGCCCCGGGCCGCGAGGCCAGCCCGGCAAGTCCGCAGCTGGCGCGCGGCCCCGGGCTCCTCCTCGGGAAGGGTGAGGTCCCCAGGGCCTCGGTCCCCGTACCCCGGGCCCCAGACCTACTTTCCCGCGCCGCTCACGCCCATCACCAGCACCGCGTCGGGCATCGCCACGGC